GGAGGAAACCCAGGAGGTCTTTCCTTGACAGTGAGTCCCAATAATAAGAGAAAGGCCACAGAGTTTTATTATTCATGGTGTGTGTAGATGGTCTAGGTGTACCCCCCAGTTTAAGCCAGGATGGGCCTGACTTAAATAGGGAGGGGGAAAGAGGAGGGGCTGGGAAAAGGAATAACTTAATTAGCTATGCTTCTTGGCCTTCAGGTAACTCATGAATATGGAAATCTCTCGAGGCTGAAGCCTGTAGTCACTCCCTCTCTAGCCAAAAATGACTGCAAGGTACAGATCAAACCGAGATCATGCCATATGTCTGAATTCTGGATTCTGAGAGTGCAGAGGAATAGATGCCTGTCCCTCACAAGCAATGGACACCTGTTGGGTCTCTGGGCTATTTCCAGCCAGTGCTTAACCAAAATCAGCCATCCTACTACAGTCCCACAATTCCCTCTCTTTTCTTTTATAAAAAGAGGGGTATCACTGTGTCATTTGTGGTGAAAATTTTGGATGAGGAAGTAAAAAGAAAACACTTTGTAGGCCAGAGGTGGTTAGCACAATTAAGTCACATGGTAAGGGGAGATGAGAGCGTGGTAGAGAAGGCAAGGGATCATTAAGTCAATTAAATACATGTGGTACAGTTTGAAAGAAATGACATCTGATTAATCTAGATAGACATGCTTTCCTCACTAACATGTAACTTAAGCTATTTCACTTTGGCAAAAGAGTTTGTCTGTAGCTGGAAGGTCTGGATCTGTCTTTAGGACTCGAAGAGTGTCTAAGAATGTAGCTTGGCATCCCGGGCAGGTTCCAGGAGGTGGCGGTGTCTCCAGGTCTTAGCATGTCTCTGGAGTCTGCAGTCAGACGGTTTCTGGAAGGATGTAGCTTGACGTCCCAGGCAGATTCCAGGAGACTGCGTTGTCTCTGTTGTATCTGTGGGTATACCTGTAGGATAATCACAGGGAAGCAGCATCCCTGGCAGGGGGATGTCTGCAAAGGCTGGGTATTAAGCATTAAGTCACTTGGGAGCAAGCACATCATGGTCTGTCATTAAAATCTTGGAAAGGCAAAGGTGTTTGAGGAAATTTTAGTCCTGGAAGGTATCCTTGAGTCTGTTTTTGGATGGCTGAGGGGGAAAAACTTCATGTTAATTATGTATCTGGGATAGGCAGCAACAGTTTGTCTGTGAAAGGAAATTAGTTGTCAGTTAAGGATTGAAAAATGGTGATCAGCAAGTTGATTTAACCTATGGAATTAGATTAGATGATTTTTGAACCTTCGAGAAATCCTTAAAAGTTGGGAAAAAAAAAGAGAAAAAAGTTGAAAAAAAATGTTGGACATGTATCATGAGTGTTAGAGAGAAAAGGAAACATTGAAAGAAAAACAAGAAAAGTTTCCATTGAAAAGCACGAACATTGTTGTTTTAGGTGTTCCTGTTAGGGTGAAAAGGAAATGTTTAAACAAAAGGCAAGAAAATTTTGGGTTGAAAAGCATTAAAACTTGGGTTAAGTTTTATTCATTTTATGTATTTAAGTACACTGTATCTGTCTTCAGACACACCAGAAGAGGGCATCAGGTTCCATTAGAGACAGTTGTGAGCCACTTTGTAGCTGCTGGGAATTGAACTCAGGACCTCTTGAAGAGCAGTCAGTGTTCTTAACCACTGAACCATCTCTCCAGCTCTACTCTTTCATTCTTATTCATCATAGTTCTTGGTATGTTAGCTAGAACAGTAAACAAGAGGAAGAAATAAAGCATAAGTGAAAAAGCAAATCGTCAAATTAAGCCTGTTTACATATAATATGATTCTGTACTTAAGCGATACTGGAGAGCCCACCAGGCAGGAAATACTTGGATCTCAAAAACATTTTCATCAAAATAGCAGAAAACAAATCAATTCACAAACATCATTGTTTCCTATGTGCAAATACATAAAAAAGGATGCAAAGAAAAATTGATGCAACCATATTCAGATCATTAAGTTGATCTCTGAAAAACAAGTAATTTTTTGCTCACATGGAGTTTGTACACTCAGGGAAACTGTCTATGTCTAGACTGTACATTGTCACGACCATCAAGAGAACTATGTGCAAATTTTGAGTTCACTTCTATTACACTCTCTCAGTTCCTGCTTTAAGCCTCTGTGTATCTGTCTGTCCTGGATGTATTATAGGGCTGTACTTACCTAATAACTTACACTCTGTTTCCCACCCTTTCATTGAGTATATTTCAAAGTCTGTCCATATATTAATACATAAAATTGTTTTGTTATGTAAAATTATATTTTCTTTCTTCATATCAATACTTTAGCAGTTTCTGGGAACCAGAAACCAATGTATGAAACAGGAGACAAATAGTCCTTTGATATAATGAGACTTCATGAAAATGAGCTGTGCTCCCCCCCAAAAAAAAAACTCACCATGAGAACCATGGAGGAAGGCAGAGGCTAAACTTCTGCCACAGCAACTTCCACATCCTCTTTTCTGGTTCCTGCATGAAGCTGACTGACTTGGGTGTAAAGGGACTTTCCAGAAGCCCAGTTATCTCTGCTCCATCCATCTGGCCCTTTGTCTGTCAGTTCACTCTGGGTGCTCCCTATTCCTCCTTTCACAGCTTCAAAAAGCAATCTCTCCGTTACTGAGGAGTCTCAAAATTTGGTAAAGTTAAGACGATTCTGATTTTCTCCCTGAGACAAATACAATGAGCTTCTGCTTTTCCGTACAGTGTTGGGTCTCTTGAAGACAAGTTCTGACCACATAGTGGGTAAGGAAGACCAAAGTCTCTCAGCTGAGTGGTTCCTGTGTGGAATCCTTTGGATCATGCTTATTTAAGCTCAGTGATATGCAGTCTATTCGAATTCATGGCTGTGAAACATGAGCTGCCTCCTTCTTCCATAGAATAAATATCTGAGGCTTCCAGACTCTCATGAAATCATGACAGAATAAGGAATATCTTTCAGTGGAGGAAAACATGTGGAAGGTGTACACATTCTTGTTCCATTTTTGGAATAATCTGGTCAAATGCTAGAAAGAAGCCCACCAGGGTAATTGCTCACTCATGTCCTAAAAGTGACCTAACCCATGTGAAGCCAACATCATAATCTAACACCAACTCCAGATAAGTGCATTATAAGAAAACAAAGTATACATAAATATCTCCTATAAGCATAAATACTATCTTCAACAAATATCATTCATAAATCACATAACAAAATTCCAGTAACTAAAATATCACACATAAGATGTTGATCCCATTATAGCACATCACCCATATATGTGTATCCATGTGATTTCTTTATGATGTTATTATAATTCCCTAATATACCATTTCAGAACATTTTCTATTGTTGGTCATGCAAATTTAGTATAATGCTGTGTAACAAGTTTAATATACAATGTACAAATACGATTTACCCTATTATACAATGTTGGTTAAACAACCCTTCAAAACAAGTTATTATCACTAATCACAGCAACCAAGTAAAAGTGGAAATAAACATAATAATGGAATGAAGAGAGATAAAGAAATAGCATTAGCCAATTCTCAAAAGCTGTTCATTATAAACACTCACCATAAACTAAGGATAGAGAACTCTCTCCACTGAATTAAATCCTACTAAAGATACTAACATTAGCATCATATTTAGTGGTAAGAAATGAGAAATTTCACATTAAGTTAGGAAGAAGACAGCAATGTCCATTCTAGTCATACAATTTCAACCTTGTACTTGAAGTCCCAGCTAATGAAGTAAGACCAGTAAATGAAGGTTCCCCTATTCAGAATGAAGATCTACAATTGTCATTGTTGGCTTATTATATGATTTTCCATGTAGAAACTCTAAATGATTTTGTAAATTTACTTTATTGAATTAAGCAGTGGTGTGTGTGTGTGTGTGTGTGTGTGTGTGTGTGTGTATTGCCGTCTACATGGATGTTCATACTAACGGAGAACAGAAGATGTCAGATTATCTGGAACTAGAGTTGTGAGCCACTATGTGGGTGCTGGAAATTGAACCAGAGGCCGCTTGAGGAGCATCCAAGTGCTCAAAATCACTGGGCCACCTCTGCAGTCCCCAAAGAAGTGATTATATCACAATGACTCAAGATTGATTTATTAACATGTCAATTGCTTTTGCATATGGCAGCAATAGACAGTTTAACTGAAAGTATATCAACATTATGTATCATTTCCACACCTTTCACACATGGTTTTACATGAATGCTATGTTTTACATGAATGCTATGAACTTGGCCATGAAAACACTATATTAAATACATCAATTACACAAATGATATTACAAAGCATGTTAACAATGCCTCACCACAGAACTCATTCAAACACCAGTGTGTTGGTGGTTGGCAATTCTTTACATTTTTTATTGGATATTTTATTTATTTACATTTCAGGTGTTATCCTCTTTTCTCATTCCCCCTCCCCAGAAACCTCCTATTCCATCCCCCCTCCTCCTTTTTGCTTTTATACCATTTTAATTACATGCAAATGTTAAGGTCAGTTCTAGATTGGGGAACTAGCAATACAATAGATGCAAATAGCCAAGGAGCAAGCAAGACAATAAACACAAATAGTCAAAGAACAAGCAAGGCACTAAACAAAGTCCCCTGTTCACTCACGTGATCACTACCTCTAAAGGGCTTATCAGGAAGACCAAAATATCTATGCCAACTTCTCTGTCCTAGCCCAAAGTCATTTTCATGTCTGAAGCTTACTTCTTTGTTCTAGCCTAAGATTTAGATTCCTGCCTGAAATTACTTCTTTGTTCTAGACTAATGTCAGATTCCTGATTGAAGCCCATTTCCTTGTCCTTGAAGAATGTCAGATGCCTGCCAAGCAGTCCATTTCCTTTTGAGAGGCCACACAATAAGTATGTGGTAGTAACTGAAGGGTCCCAGGATCCCCAAGAGAGGTGAAAGACCTGATTGTTATATTGAACTCTAAGACCCAAACCAGGGGGATGCGCTTTCACAGAAACACTCACAGACAGGGGATTCACTACAAAAACATGAGGTTTAATGATGATAATGATGATGATGATGATGATGATAATAATAAACCAGTGAAGTGGGGTTTCCTTGTACACAAACAAGAGGAACCCCACACCAAAGTTGGGAGCACTTTTTATACCATATTCACAGGGCTTATATGGGCAGTTTTACCTCTTAATCAATAACCACGAAGGCTGACTTCAACAGCCATTCCCAGGCCCAGTTTCTAGGCAACTCAGATTATCACATTATCTTTATAACAATGAGTGTTAGCTAAGTGACTTCTATTTGCCCAGGTGTATTATTAAGGGCCCAGTTTCTTGATTAACCCTTATCTTGGGCCCTTCCTCTGCAATGTGTCTTTGGAATGTGCTTCTGCCACGATGTGTCCTGGGGCAATTAATTTTTGAGTTTACCGTAACCTGAGATTCTTGAGACCTGAAATTCCTACAGTTATTCAGTTATTTTTCTTTCTGAAATCTGATTTATGCTTGTGGTTTTTGTTATTGAGCCAAATACATTGTTCTCAATAAAAAGGACAGGCTCTCAAAGTACAGTGAGGAATTTGGTGATTTATAATGAATGAAAATGTAACATTAAAGTAAGAAAAAGTCAGAGAGACATGAAGTTAAGAATCTTTAGGACAGGACTTTCCTTACTGTCATGTAGTAAGAACAGAGGAGGCATCAGTCAACAAGAGCCCACAGTAAGGTGAAGAGAAATAGTCTTAATCTAGTGTGGAAATGCTGTATTCTCTGTCCTCTCCCTGAACCTAAACACACTTACTCCTGGACAATACTGAAAACATAAACCCCAGATTTTCTTTAAAAAACAAAACAAAAAACAAAAAACACTTCAAATCCCCAGACATATTTCCCAGAATCTGCCACCAGGAAGGGATACAGTGCTCTCTTCTGTTTGGCTCCCAGATGAATATCAGATCTGTCTCTGATTGTGCCATGCCTTTAACTGCAGAATCCCAAAAACAAGGAGGATCAAGCCAACCGTAGCCATCCGGAAGATGTTTTCCACTGTATGATCCTGGGTTTTTGAGACTGGAGACATTACACAAACAGATCAGGGCAGAAAACCTCACTCCCAGATGAGTGGATGTCCAACCACAGCTCCTGAATCTACTGGATAAAGAAGACTTGATTCTTTGCATCTCACCCTTAATGGAGAACTTGAATTACTCACCTGCCTTGGCTTCGGATGAGTTGATAGTCTCAGACACTCCTGAAAAACAAATGGTAAAAGGTAGGATGTATGAAGTACTTAAGAAACCCGGGCCTTTCACATGGAATTCATGTTATTTCTTTTATTGCTTGGATATTAGTCTGATCACATAATTTCTTGAAGATTCTTTCCCTGCTAGGGTAGAGCTATCTCTGTTTTATTCTTAATAAATTCTACTCCAGTTGAATTCTACTCCAGTAGAGCTCCAGTGCTCACCATTTATTCAGAATATTAGTCCCAGCACAAGTTTTTCTGACTCCTAAGAGCTACAGATAAAAAGAATGTTCTGCCACTTAAGAATTAATGAAGCCTCTGTTAGTTTCTGTTCACCAGCTGAGGACCCAAGTTCGAAGGGTGATGCCTCCTCCTCAGGAGTTCCTGAAGTTGGGAGGACAAAGGAGAATGTGACTTTGCCCCCTTTACCAACAACAGCTAATTCCCATGTTGCTTTATTGCATATAGCAAAGCACAAATGCATCAATGCACACATACATACACATTGATGTATTCTAGTAAGATGTGATATATGTCTTCAGAGAGTGGTAAAATAATGAACTTGTAAAACATATTAACAAGACATGTTGGGGAGTGGTGGCACACGCCTTTAATCCCAGCACTCGGGAGGCAGAGGCAGGCGGATTTCTGAGTTCGAGGCCAGCCTGGTCTACAGAGTGAGTTCCAGGACAGCCAGGGCTATACAGAGAAACCTTGTCTCAAAAAACCAAAAAAAAAAAAAAAAAAAAAAAAGACATGTTAATCTGAATGGATTTGTAATAATAAATACATTTAAACCTATGATATACATAATTACCAGTTTATATTCTATATACAAAAATAGAGATATAAAATGTGAGGCAGGAAAAATGTGATATGCAAGAAATTCTGCTTGCCAGACATAAGTGCAACTAGAAGTCATTACATTAAGCCATGTAAATCAGACTCAAAAAGACAAATACCACAAAATATGTTCACTCATAGGTGTTATATAGACATGCATAAATTCATATATATAATAGTTTTCACGTCTTATTAAAGAATCATATTTTTGCAGCAGACAGAGGCCAATAAAATGTCAACTGGTCAAAATGCAGAGAAGTGACCATGAGTGCCTAGCTCTAATTAATACATATACAGCACAATTCCTGTATTGAAAACCAGGGGAATGTCATGGAAAACGTGTCAAAAAGATTGTTAAGAGCTGGCTGACCAGGATGCTTGATTTGGGATTTTGTATTCTAGATATTACAGGGTGGGCGTACCCATAATATATCAACAATATGGTTGCCTAAAAAAGACCTGAATAATTACAATAACAATTGTCATACCAGTGTGGATGGAGGAAAATTCACAAGTTTCTATGCCTAGATAAAGACTTACAGGTAGTAAATGGCTTCTGAGAGAATGTTTTTTTATAGGGAAGAACCACCAAATAGATTATTCAATTCTAAGTGGTCAGCCCTAAACAAATGTACATAGCAGTAACAGCAAATTGACCATATATGTTTATGTTATATGTATGTGTGTGTGAAAAATAATTTAAAAAGAAATGCCCTTAATTTTGAGAGGGATATAGGAGAAGATGAAGCACAGAGACAGAGATAAAGGATATGAATGATGCAAAGACAGTATACATCTATGAAATTCTCAAAGTTTAAATTAAAAATAATATCCGTGAGGATGAATAGTAGGCTCAGCCACTTAGAGAACTGTCTGTTCTTTCATGGAACCCAGGTTTGATTCTGAGAACTCACACAGTAGCTTGCAACCATTTGTAAATGCAGTACCAGAGGGTTTGATGCCCTCTTCTAGCCTTCAGTGGTATTGCATATAAGTAGCTTACAGCCATACAAGCAAGCAAAACACCAATATACACAATAAAGTTAGATACATGTGTGACTGTGTTTGGGTATATTAAACTGTGAGTAGACTGAGAGAATGTCTGATAATAGAGGGATGGGAGAAAAGGAAGTGCCATTGTGTGACTAGAGTAGAATTACCCAATATCCTTGGAAGAAAACATCTTTCTAAGACTTGTCATTATCGAAAATGAACATATGCCAATAAAATATTTTAAGGAAGCAAAAATTTTACCTTACTGATGTCTCTTATCAGTCAATCAAAACTATTGAAAACCCATTGGAAGAGAAATAACCTACATAAATGTTAAATAAAAATAATGTAGACAAACTAAATGCTTTCTTTTGTATACTTCATTATTTAGAAAATACAATGCTCCAAAAGCCCTAACTTGGAAATTATTAACTAGGTCATTGGGTAACTCAGTCATTCTCCCTTTAACATATATAATTTTTATGAAAAATTATAAATACTTTGGTTATACTACTAATTATCCATTTAAAATATATATATATAGAGAGAGAAAGAATTGATATCAAGACAAAATTTTCTAACTCATATGTAAATATCATCCACTCATCTGAAGATAGTGGGTTAACTTTCTTTTGAAATCATATCGTAAATGAAATTTAATAATAATGATAAT